TCTTCAATAGTGCTTTGCTCATCCGAGGTCTCTTTCCTTTCCATATAAAGTTAGTGATTGGTTTTTCCATATCCCTAAAGAATGTTGATGAGATCTGGATTGGGATTGCATTTAATGTATAGATTGCTTTGGGTAGAGCTGACATTTTCACAATGTTCAATCTTCCTATCCACAAGCATGGATGTTCTTCCATTTATGTAGATCTCCTATGGTTTCTTGAAGTATTTTTTTATAGTTTTCTTTTTACAGGTCTTTTGTGTCCCTGGTTAAGATTTATTCTCAAGTATTTTATTGTTTTGGTAGCTATTGAAAACGGTATTGATTTCCTTATTTCTTTTTCAGCAATGTCTTTGCTGGTGTAGAGGAATCTAACTGATTTTTGGATGTTGATCTTATATCTTGCTACGATGCTAAATCTCTTGATAAGGTCCAGTAGATTTTTGACTGGTCTCTTGGGTTTTCTAGGTAGAGTATCATATCATCAGCAAATAGGGATAGTTTGACTTTTTCCTTACTAATTTGGATGCCTTTGATTTCCCTTTCTTATCTTATGGCCCTGGCTAGGACTTCCAGTACTATGTTGATTAGAAGTAGTGGTAGAGGGCATACTTGTCTGGTTCCTGTTTGCAAGAGGAATGGTTTCAGTCTCTCTCCATTGAGTATAATGTTGGCTGTTGGTTTTGGCTAGATGCCCTTTATTATGTTGAGGAATATCTGTTCTATTCCTATTTTGCTGTCTCTTAGCTACTTTTAAGAACTGTATGGTCCAAAGAACAACAGCAACTCAAAAGATTAGATAGGAACCTTAGAAGGTAGTGTATTTATGTTAATGGAGAAAAGACAACTTAGATAAGAAGGGTGAGAATGGTCACACAACTCGAAGAATATAATCAGTGTCACTAAGTGGTACATGTAGAAACTGTTCAACTGGTGTGTTTTGCTGTGTATATTTTCAACAATAAAAGAAAATAAAAATGTAAAAAATCTCTCAGCTGGGATAAATTCAAATGAGGGATTTTTTCAAAGATCCTTTAGAAAGATTGGTAGAGAATGTATTCCCAAGTGACTTTTGTGGTCAGAGCCTCCTCCTGTCCTCCTCACCTGCTTATTCTCTGGTTATTTTCAGGTGGAAAGCTTTCTGTGGTCCTACCAGCTGAAGAGATTGCTGAGTTCCTGCTAGAACCATCCACATCTATGCTTACCAAGGTGATGAGAGACACAGGAAATAGCATCTGTAACATCCAAGCAGAGTTGCTATTTTAATTTTACAAAAACAAGAGAAGGTTTTGTCTGTTGGCTTGACATTTTATAAATGCCTCTTCTGAATGGTGCACATTCTCTAGATTCCTAATTATTTCAAAAAACAAAATCTCATTTGTTGTAGTTTCCAGCAGGCCAAGTGTCAGCTTGCCTACATGAAGAAGCCAAATGACTCTGTTGTTCTGACTTTTGATAAGAAGAGAGTCTAGAACAGCTTGTGAGAGAAGAGGTTCATTTATAGCAAAACAAATACTAGGGTAGAGAGTTTTTAAAATGTGCTCCCTAGAGTACCTATCCTGGTTTCTCCTCCTCTAACTAGAACTTTTTAACTATATTTTTAAAATGAAAATATCTGAGAATTAAACAGCTCTGGCCCAACAATTGTGTCTTCAGGGAAGGATTGAAAACACCAGAAAACCTCCAACTGCAGCCTGACAAGATGTTGGAGATACCACACTGTTCACTGATGTCTGCACTGTGAGGGCCCACATGTCCAGAGTTTTCAGATTTACAAGTTCAGGAATTTAAAATCCAGGCATGATAAGGCTCTAGATAACCAACTCAAAGGCTGATTGTGAGACCAAAACCCATTTAAATTAATTTACAATGGAAGATAAGGGCTATCAGTGCCGGACTCAGGTCCTTCCTGGAAAGTCTACTCAGCAGACCAAAGTGCTGACCAGAAAATTGCTTGTCGAGCAATAGCCTTTGATCTGGTCCCTCTGCAAAAGTCCTTGTCACACAATGTATCTGGATTAATCTTCCAGAAGTACACTGCCCTCAACTGGTATCAATTCCCCAGGGCTTTCTAGAGTGTGGCTCCCTCTCCAGCTCCACCTTCTATTTGTATACTATTACAGATACAATACTATGCTGTCTTTCTTCTCTCCTATATTCCCCACCCATTGTCTATCCTGTCCCTCCTGCCCTTCCTTAGATATCCTAACACAATTCTGGTGATTATTTAATGTCTGTTTGTTGTACTGTGGTGAGTAGCATGTTTCTGTAATGCCAGATGTCACTGCTATTTGAAATACCAGCAAGGGCACCCATGGTAGACAGGTTTCAGTGGAGCTTTCAGACTAAGACAGACTAGGAAGAAGGATGTGGCAGTCCTCATCTGAAAAAGTTGACCACTGAAGACCTTATGAATAGCAGTGAACCATTGTCTGATATAGTGCCAGAAGATGAGCCCCACAGGTTGGAAGTCACTCAAAATATGACTGGGGAAGAGCTTTCTCCTCAAAGTAGAGTTGACCTTAATGACATGGTTGGAGTTAAAGCTTTCAGGACTTTCATTAGCTGATGTGGCATGACTCAAAATGAAAAGAAACAGTTGCAAACATAATAATTGGAATGTGGAATGTACGAAGTATGAATCTAGGAAAATTGGAAGTTTTCAAAAATGAAATGGAACACATAAAGATCGATATCCTAGGCATTAGTGAGCTGAAAAGACTGGTGTTGGCCATTTTGAATCAGACAATCATATGATCTACTATGCCAGGAATGACAAATTGAAGAGGAATGGTGTCACATTTATCATCAAAAAGAACATTTCAAGATCTAGCCTGAAGCACAATGCTGTCAGTGATGGGATAATATCCATATGCCAACAAGGAAGACCAGTTAATACAATTATTATTTAAATTTATGCACCAGCCACTAAAGCCAAAGATGAAGAAATTGAAGATTTTTACCAACTTTTGTAGTCTGAAATTGACCAAACATGCAATCAAGATGAATTGATAATTACTGATGATATTAAGGCAAAAGTTGAAACCAAAGAAGCGCAGGTAGTTGGAAAATACTTTAGTGATAGAAATGATGCCTAAGATCACTTGATAGAATTTTGCAAGACCAATGACTTATTCATTACACATACCTTTTTTTTTTTTTTCAACAACATAAATGGTGACTATACACATGGACTACACCAGATGAAAAACACAAGAATCATATTGACTACATCTGTGGAAAGAGGTGATGGAGAAGCTCACTATCATCAGTCAGAACAAGGCCAGGGGCTGAATAGACCCTCGGTTGTTCATATGCAAGTTTAAATTGAAGCTGAAGAAAAGTAAAACAAGTCCACGAGAGCCAAAATACAAACTTGAGTATATATCACCTGAATTTAGAGACCATATGAAGAACAGATTTGACACATTAAACACCAATGACTGAAGACCAGATGAGTTGTGGGATGACATCAAGGACGTCATACATGAAGAAAGCAAAAGGTCATTAAAAAGACAGGAAAGTCAGAAAAGACTAAAATAGATGTCAGAAGAGACTGAAATTTGCTCTTGAACAGAGAATAGCTAAAGAGAATAGAAGAAATGATTAAATAAAATAGATGAACAGAAGACTTCAAAGGACAACTTGAGAAGACAAAGTATTGTAGTGAAATGTGCAAAGACCTGAAGTTCAAAAATGAAAAGAGAAAAAGACTCTCGGCATTTCTCAAGCTGAAAGAATGAACAAAAAATTCAAGCTCCAAGTTGCAACATTGAAAGATTGTATGGGTAAAATGTTGAAAAATGAAGGAAGCATCAAAAGAAGATGAAAGGAACACAGAGTCACTGAACCAAAAAGAATTGGTTAACATTCAACCATTTCAGGAGGTAGCATATTGTTTAGAATGAATGGTGTTAAAAAGAAGTCCAAGCTGCACTAAAAGAATTGGCAAAAATCAAGGCTCCAGGAATTGACAAAATACCCATTGAGATGTTTCAACAAATGGATGGCAGCATTGGAGGCACTCACTTGTTTATGCCAAGAAATTTGGGAGATAGCTACCTGGCCAACCAACTGGAAGAGGTCCACGTGTGTGCCCATTCCAAAGAAAGGTGATCCAACGGAATGTGCAAATTATTAAACAATATAGTTAATATCACACACAAGTAAAATTTTACTGAACATAATTCAAAAGTGATTGCAACAGTTTATCGACAGGGAACTGCCAGAAATTCAAGCTGGATTCAGAAAAGAACATCTAACAAGGCTTAGCCTTACTGATGTAGATGGATCTTGGCTGAAAACAAAGAATACCAGAAAAATGTTTGCCTGTGTTTTATTGACTGTGCAAAGGCATTCAACTACGTGGACCATAACAAATTATAGATAACATCGAGAAGAATGGGAATTCTAGAACTCTTAACTGTGCTCGATATGTAGATGACATGACCTTGCTTACTGAAAATGAAGATGACTTGAAGCACTTACTGATGGAGATCAAAGTCTTCAGTATGGATTACACCTCAACATAAAGAAAACAAAAATCCTCACAACTGGACCAGTAAGCAACATTATGATAAATAGAGCAAAGACTGAAGTTGTCAGAGATTTCATTTTACTTGGATCCATAATCAACACCCATGGAAGCAGTAGTCAAGAAATCAGATGTCGTATTACACTGGGCAAATCTGCTGAAAAGACCTCTTTAACATGTTAAAGAGCAGAGATGTTACTTTGAAGACTAAGGTGCTCCTGACTCAAGCCATGGTATTTTCAATAGTCTCATGCATATGACAGCTGAACAATGAAAAAGGAAGACCAAAGAATTGATGCATTTGAATTGTGGTGTTGGTGAAGAATACTGAATATACATGCAATAGATTGCTAGAAGAATAAACAAATCTGTCTTTGGAAGTACAGCCGGAATGCTCCTTAGAAGCAAGAATGGCCAGACTTCGTCTCACCTACTTTGGTCATGTTATCAGAAGGGACCATCCCTGGAGAAGGAAATTAGTGAAAAATTTGAGGGAAGACCCTCAACAAGATGGATTGACACAGTGGCTATGACAGAAAGCATGCCAATGATGTGAGGATGGTGTTTGTTCTGTTATACATAGAATCTCTATGAGTTAGACTCAACTTGATGGCCGCTAACAAAGCAGCATGAGGTGAATCTAATCCCCATCAAGCTTTGAGAACCACTGGCTTAAATTTTTCTTACAATTCTTCTGGCAGCTGTCTCTTACTGTAATTGATATATTTACTTAACAGTCCCTGTTAAATTGTAAGCTTCTGTAGATTTTATTCATCTTTGTGTGTGTGTATGTGTGTGTTGTGTGTGTGGTGAAATATACACAACAAAGCATTTGCCAATTCAATAATTTCTACATGTATAATTCAGTGACATTGATTACATTCTTTATGTTGTGCAACCAGTATCACCATCCTTTTCCAAATCATTCCACCAACCATTAACATAAACTCAATGCCCACTGGCAAAAACTCCCTCTTCCCCCTCCTTTCTATCCCTGATAATGACTAATAATCTTTATTTTCTATATATTTGCTTATTTCATATAAGCAAATCATTTCAAATAACTCACACAGTATTTGTGCTTTGGTGACTGACTTATTCATTCAGTATAATGTTTTCAAGGTTCATCCAGGACTTCATTTCTTTTTATGGCCGAGTGGTATTCCATTGGGAGCTCTGGTGGCATAGTGCCTAAGGCATTTGACTCCTAACCAGAAGGCTGGTGGTTCAAACCCCCCAGCCACTCCTCGGAAGGAAGACTGGGCAATCTACTTCCATAGAGATACTGCCTTGGAAACCCAAAGAGGGGTCGCTATGAGTCAAGATCGACTCGACAGCAGTGAGTTTGGTTTGGTTTTTGGTTTTAATATTCCATTGTATGTATGTGCCACAATTTGTTTATTCATTCATCTTTTCATGGACATTTCAGTTGTTTCCACATTTTGGCTATTGTAAAAAATGCTGCAATGAACATAGGGGATTTTAAACTCCAAACCCACTGCTATCAAGTCGATTCTGATTCATAGCAACTCTTTAGGGCAGATTAGAACTGCCCATAGTTTGTCCCAGGCTGTAAATCTTTACAGAATCAGAACTAGCTGATCCTTCTCCTGCAGAGCGGCTGGTGGATTTGAGCCATTGACCTTTTGGTTAGCAGCTGAATGCTTTAACCACTTGTGGTGGTCATGTTTTTGTGTCAACTTGGCTAGGCCCAGCTGAGTGGCTAGGCAGCTGGATGTAGTATTCCCCATGATGAGACTGGTGATCAACTCCATGGTGGAATCTACTGTGAGCAACTGAGTTGGGTATACCTTTGGGAATGTGGTCTGCTTCCCATATATAAGCAGCAGCTTTGGGAATGGTTGCTAGCTTATGGCACACTTGGACCCTGCACGTAGCTATGTCATTGTACAGCAGACTACCATGCTCTGCTGACCTTGAGACTTACAATGGACTTGAATTAATGGCCTGTCGTGTGGTTTGGTAACATCAGGACTATGCCATTTTATTTGTCAACGTTGGGCTTGTTAGCCTCAGCAGCCAGTAGCTGTCTGAGTGAAGAGATGCCTCTAGCTTCAGTGGGCCAGGAGCAAGAGGCAGAGCCCTAGGTTGAAGGGCTTTCACCCAGCCCCTACAGCCTGGCACTTTGAACTTGGACTTAAAGCCTCCAAAATGTAAGAATAAACTCTTGTTTGTTAAGGCCATCCCATTTGTGGTATATTCTTATCAGAGAGGAACTAGGTAACCAGAACACCACTACACCATCAGAGCTCCTACAGGGGAATCTTACCTTTAAATGTGCATAGTGAATTTCGAAAGTAGGAACTCCATGACTGTTGCACTGAATTGACAGTGCTGAGGTAGGTGAGGAGGAAAAGGTCCAGGTTGTATTGCCAGAGTGGAGCAAGCAGAGGAAAGATGTTAAGTGTTTAGTAAACACTGATGATAACTTGAGGAGCCAGTTCTGAATAAGTTTTCAAAGGTCCACAGTGCATTTAGTCCTCACTATATGCCATTATCCATAGCAATGATCTAAGCCTGGCAAGAATATAACTGGAGCAGCCAACCTGAGGGAAGCAGTGAGTGAATCACAGTGATTGCTTTAAGTGTTTAGACATCTGAATCTGAAGTTCTTAGTGCTTGGAGGTAAACAGATAGAAGAGAGAAAGTGGCTCATGAGCAGGTCCATGAGAGTTCTTTCTCTGCTAATCGAATGGGTCAGGCTAGGGGTCAGTGTGGTGAACTCTGAACAATGGCCTGAAATTATAACAAAACCAAAAACCTATTAGGGGGAGGCGGGGCAAGATGGCGGACTAGGCAGAAGGATTGCACAGACCCTCTTCAACAAAGAAAAG